TATCTGGCAACCAAGATACGTAGCATACTGAACAGTCTGAATAAATGTACTGGACATGGAAACTTATTGCTTTTGACATACAGGAAAAAAAATTCTACCCCAAATCCACTTTGAGTTAATTTATGCCCACTTCTAGGAAGAAGCACAATCAGCTCTAACCTTCAGCTGATAAACCTGCTAAACATCAAGATATGAGTTCTATATGCAATAAGTGAAAAAGACAAATTTTTTCCTGGTAAAACTTGACAAAGAATTTGCACTGCTCGTCGCTTAAGATGTATTCTTCTGCTTTGTGTTTTAAGCATTTCATAGTAGAAAGCCTTGCATAATTAGAATGAATACTGGTTACCAATTTGATGGCATTTAATAGTGAATTGGAATGTCACACTAGAAAACACATGTGCACACACTGTGAAGATATTTGCTTTCTTTCTTACATATGCTTCCCTTTATCTCTTAGAGCAAACATTTCACTAATAAAGAGCTTGTTCAATGGATATTATTGTAAAGATGCATTCTCTTCTTTCTGTATTTCTTTATAGTTGATTGATTTGAGATTTTTTTTTTATTTAGTGGAATTCCACTTCCACTTCACTCCCCCTTCTCCCTTGTCACCAGCAAGTTGCATTGCTGCCAAGATATAACATGTTCAAATTTTTCCTAAAAGAAAATAAAATAAAATCTGAATGTATCTTTTTATCTAGATCTTCTGGGGAAGTACTTTTTTAGCTGGCCTCTTTCTTTATCACCTGGGGAAAATCCTAGTTTGTGAAGCTGCTGATGGACTGCACACTACTTGCTTTTTATTTTAAAGAAAGCGATTAAAAAAAAATGAACTATGACACTGCAGGAGATAGATAATATTAAACCTTTCTGTGATTAACTGGGTGAAGAAGAAAATGAAATAGTAACCTATGGAGAGTTGCCTTTTTTGTTTGTTTGGTTGGTTGGTTGGTTGGTTTTATACCATTTATTACGTAGAAGGGAAATCCTTTCTACAAAACTCCTTTGGAGACAAAACATGGGCTCTTCGACATTTACCACAGCATTGTTCACAATATGGTAAATCCTAGGGTTTAAGCAAATGAAATAATGCAAAAAAAAAAATTGTTTCCTTTAATTTCTGAACTCTAGATGCTATTTTTTTTTCCCCATTCAGTTTTTTCTCTTTTCAAAACCTTAAAATATTCCAGAATCCCATTCTCCAACAAAGTTAATAGCCTTTACTTTTAGTGTACTCTTAATAATATCCGACCAAGAGCAATCAATCAGGTGCTGCATCTGATAAAATATACTCCTCTCCTGTGCCATCAGTCTTTCCTGTCAGTGAATGCTATAGTGGCATCTTCTGGTACAGAGAAGAATGAATAGTCATCTTGCTGTGAAATAATTTTTCCATGAAAAACACACACAAAGAAACAAGCTTGAAGAAATGAAATAAAAAACACCTGCGATTCTTCTTCAATTATTGTTTTTACTCCTACTGAAGTAATGAATAAAGAGAAATTAAAATCCAGTGATTTGGTAGTCATATGGGCATGCGAATTTATGTGTAAATAAACTGCTTCTAGAGCTATTAGTATTCAACGTAATGACTTACTACTGTATCATTTGACATAAGATGATAAATGGTAGTTGATCAGAAAAAACAAACAAGAGAAAGAAGAAAGGAGGTAAAAAGGCAACAGATAGGACAACAAGAAATCCTCCAAAACTGATTATTCTTAAGGCATTTCTCTAAAACTTACTTCTGTATGTTATGACTTACATTTTCTAGAAATTGCTGGATAGTAAAATAAATTAATGTTTATGAATTGAAATGGAAATGAGAATTGGCAAGAACTAGATATTCCATTTGATATTTTACAAGAACAGTGCTTTATAGCTTCATGAAATGTTACTGAGTTCAGAGGTTTAATCACAATGCCTTTAATTGTATATATTTTCCTTTGATATGACATATACTGTGACACTGTACATCATAGATCTTGCTCAGAATATTCCAGTAACAGGTGAAACCTGAGAAGCCAACACACCGACTTCCTTAGTGACAAGAGCTTTGAAATAAAATCACTGGCAGCTCAATTCTGAGTCATTGCTCCTCAGTACACATTATTAGATGTCACCAAGCATTTCCAGCATCTTTTGAATTTTTCCCTTTTCTGAGGAAATTGTTAAAACAGATATCAATTATGGGACCATTTTTAAGAGTGTGAAACTACTGGGAGCTACTGGGGTGAGTGTCTCAAAAGATCTAGTCCTGAATGTATCAAAAGTAATTTGCATAGAAAAGAAGCTTATCTAGAAGCAAACTGTTCTCTCCAATTAAATATAACAGTTAAAAATTTGATCAAATTAAAAATTTATTAAAATTAGAACTCATTCACCAATGTACTTACTGTAGACTAGTATCCCTGTGAAAAAGCTAATAGGTTTTGCCATCCAACCCACTATTGCCTTTTATGCACTGTGAACACTTGCATTCAACTCCACGTGGCTATCCAGAGTGCTGGCTCATAACCATGCCTGGATTAAGCATGTCATGAATACAGTGATGAACTGAGTACAAAACCAATTTGGTCCTACTTCCACAAGCAATTTGTCCTTGAGAATAATAGAAGAGCCTAAAGCTGTACTTGACACACCAGTGACCGGTGCTACCATGTTGGGTTGATGTAGCAAGGGTTGGCTATAGGGGGCTGTGGGCTTTTTCTGTGAGATAATGTCCAGCATAACATGTCTGGAACACAGATGGTCCCAGTTAGCTCCAATGGTCTCACCACAATGCACATCTGTTATAATCAGATTACAGCCCCTCATTTCCCATCCTCCATGCACCACTCAGGCAGAATGGGGAGAAGAGTCGGGAATTAAGGACGGAAGGTTTGTCTGAGTGTCCTGTGTGTCTAAGACATAGAAGTACAAAATAAACTAGAAAACTATTAATGTCTCTTGCTGTATTCATTTAAATATATGAGCATGCATGCTCAATCATTGAATGTAAATTCCCGGAAGTGCTCTATTAACTAAGCAACATTTAACAAACAATATATCTTTTAATAAATCTGAAGAACTTCTGCAAGTCACAATGTATGATCAATATTTTTGTCTATAACTAGCATTCACTTAACAATTTGATTGGGAAAACTTCACCCTAATTAATAGTTCTTCCATTTTTTCTTATGACTGAAGTTGTGTATGTAAGTTATCCATATGATATGTACAAAGTGATTATTTTGCAATTATTTAGCTCATGGGTAGTTTCTTGCTTTAAAAACAGCTGTCATGTACAGATTTTGCTTCCTGGTATTTCAGAAATAGTAATTTTTTTAACAGCCAGCTGTCTCCTCTTTGTCTAAAGGCTAACATATTTTCCGAATGTCACAGTTGCAATAAGTAAAACACTCTTAAGGGTATTTAGGCTTTCTATGTCACTGCCATCTATGTAAGTGTCATACGCTGTGTTTCTCACATCCAAAACCTGCTCATAAGAACCATCCTTTTCTTGCAACTGCAGTCTTACATACATTTCTATTCAAGCCTATAAACTTACTGAAGACTTGTAGAAGAATAATGGAACAGACACAATAAAGATACTCAATAAGGAATTTTCTGCCTATTTCTCACCCATCCTTCTCTATTCATACTTGTTCCCATTCAGATATCCCAATCAGATTTGTTCCTCAAAAAATTCCTTTCTTTAGCTCCTTCTTCTTAGGATTAAACTCCTCCAGTTTCATCTCTATCATTATTATCATTATTATTATTATTTTACTTAGGTTAATGTTTTGCTTCTCCTGGTTGGATCTCAACACATTTTTGCCCTGAATTATAATGGAATTATAGAATCATAGAATAGCTTGGGTTGGAAGGGATCTTAAAGGTCATCTAGTTCAAACCCTGGGCAGGGTTACCAGCCACTGAATCAGGCACTAGTTCAGATTGTTGATCAAACCTAACCTTGAACACCTCCAGGAATGGAGCATCCACAACTTCTCTGGGCAACTTGTTCCAGTGCCTCACCATTCTCTGTGAATTTTTTTCCCCTAACATCTAATCTAAATCTCCTCTCTTTTTAACTAAAAGCAGCTACCCCTTCTCCTATCATTATCACATCATGTGAAAGGTCAGTCTACTTTCTGATTAGAAGTTCATTTTAAATATGGCAATACCACAATGACATCTCTGCAGAGCCTTCTCTTCTTCAGGCTGAGCAAGCCCATCTGCCTCTAACTGTCTTCATATGAGATGTGTTGCAGGTCTCTGATCATATTCATGGCCTCTGGGCCCACTCCAACAATGCTACATCTTTCTCATGCTGAGGGCCCCAGACCTGAACACAGTACTCCAGAAGGGGAAGAATAAATGGGAACAATTACCTCCTTCTCCCTGCTGGCCAGCCCTCTTTTGGTGCAGCCCAGGGTAACGCTGGCATTCTGGGCTGCAAGGTCACTTTGCTACTTAATGTCAGGCTTCTCATCCATCAGGATTCACAAGGCCTTCTCTGCATGGCTGTTCTCAAGGAGAACTGTTCTTCTCACAGCCTGTTCACATATCTCTCTTGTTCTCAATGAACCTCATTATGTGTGCCTACTTTTCAAGCCTGCCCAGGTCCATCTGATTCTCTTCTGTTTTGTCAACTGTATCACAAAGTTTGGTGTCATCAGCAAACTTGCTGAGGGCATTATTAATCCCCCAGTCTATGCCACCGAGAGGCACAGAGGTGAGGCTTACAACCCTGTAGTTTCCCAGGTCTTCCTTTCTCCTTTTGGAGAAATGGGAGTGATATTTACCTTTTTCTAGTTGCTAGGGACTTTGCCTGACAGCCAATTATAATGGCATTGATTGACTCATGTCCATAATGCTTAGGGCATTATTGAAAATAAAATAAAAACAAGGGCTTTGTGCCCTTCCCTGAAGCCTGGAACAAAATTACATATGGTCTGTCCATGCTCTCAGCATTCGTAAGTTCAAATCATATGTCTAAATGAGAAATATACCAGCTACTCAGGGAGTCCTTACTTTAAGATTGTGCAATAAAAGCAGTTACCTAGGGATGATTGTATACAAAATATATTTGAGAAAGGAAGCCAAATGGGAGAAAAGACACATATTTCAGAGTCTAATGGATTTGACATAAAAAATACTAGTGACTATATGGTGCCACAAAGGATACCTTTAATGAAGACTTTGTCTATTGAGCTGCGGAATAAGCCTTCTGTGCCTCCAACTGGGTAAATCACAATGAAGCAGGAGATTTTTCCTTCTTTAATCACCTCCACTGGCTCTGAGCTGAATTTGATCATAGGATTCCAAGTAAGAAAAACCGCTCATGTTTAACGTATGATCTCATTGCTACTGGCCAACATTTGGCATAGTGTTCAACTTAAAAGACCTCTGAAAACACATAAAGTAGGACTTACATTTATATTCAGTTACCTAAATGTAGTAGTATACAGGTTTTTCATGTGAACTAACTGTTGTTGCTAAAGACACAACTAATATAGTTAAAATAAGCCAGTGAGCTACTCAGCACTTACCGAAACAGGCCCCTGAAACGATCTGCAAGGTTTAGAGTATTTCTAGGCTACAGTTAGGTGTCTGATTTAGAGGGGAATCCTTTCAAAAAGATCAGGGATCAGAGTACATTTTCTCCCTGCATTTATTCCCAGAACATAAAAAAGAGTATTCATGCCTACCTGCAGCCTGATTCTAGCAAATAGACAACAAGTTTGTAGGCCCAGTTTGAAATATACAGACTGCTAGCCATTTCCCTTTAGAAGAACAAGAGACGGGAATTTTAGTTGCTGCTCTGCAGATATACTGCTTGAGAGAATGTAGGTCATGAGTATTTTAGAGTGCATTCATGCTTCTTGGGAAAGCCTGCAAATTTTTTTTTCTTGATAATAACAAACTTTTTGCAAATTTGGAGAACTAGGTCTTGCTTATTCCTAGCTCTCCTATATATTATTTCTAGGAAATAATAATAATATGAATAAACAAACAACAACAAAAACTAAGCAATCAAGAAATTCTCTCCTGTGTAAAAAATGATTATTCAAGGCACTGCAGTTGCAATTATTAAAAGTTGAAGGCAGAAATAATAAATTAACTTTGCACACAGGTTACAGAGAAAACTCTCAAAAGATAATGTCCTTGATTTAAAAAAAAAAATATATATATATATTAAAGATGAGAGGCACCCATGCTAGGCAGAGATACTCCTTTCATTATAAATTACCTTTGGGTATACAGAAATGTGACATTTATCATGGTTACAACTTGCTAAAAAAAAAACAGATTAAAAGATAGATGTAAATCAGTTTTGAGAAAGAAGATTTTTAAGCATATAAAAATGTTTTAAACATCTTTTTTTTAATTCAGTGGAATCATTCCTTTGTTTTTCTCAGTTTAAAATCTAGAAAGAGAAACTGGTAAGACAGACACTAAAATAGTTTGCTAACCAAATGTTAACAGTTTATGGGCTGGTTCAGCCCTGTTCTGTGACTAGTGGGGCGAAGGGATTTCACAAAAATCTGTGCCTCTGGAAAAAGGAAACAGGGGACCCCAAAAGCATTGAAAAAAGTAAAAACAGTGGCCAAAATCTGAGACAAAGCCATATTTAGTAAAATATGGTATACCAGATAACACACTATAATACAATATAATTAGAATTAAACCTAATAAATCAAATATAATGAGAGAGAGTGTCCAAAAGGTGGATAGGCCTCACTGTAACACTGAGACGAGATGCACAGTCCAGTTGAGGAGCAGGGAGAAGAGCCTAATGAAGAAGAGCACATCAAGTGACCTTGCCAGGGCTTATATCTCCTCAGAGATATATCAGAGATCGCAAAGCCCCTGGAGTATGTCATTCTTGTCTTCCAGACAGGTGCCCGGAACTGGAGCATTAACAGTTTATCTCCCAGTGCCCTACATGATATTATCATTTGGAATACCAATAAACAAAAATCATAACACCATGACACCAAACATAACATGGGATTCACATACAGTCTTTAATCCTTTTGCACCAGTAACCATTCTTGGCATCGCAGGTGGTGGATAACAAATTACTCTTATCAAACAGTGTGAATGCTATTTTACGGATATTATAGTCTGTGCTTACAAGTAGCACCTTTGTTTTATGTTGCATTAATGATTGTGATGTTATAACCAGAATGTACTCTGAATGTACATTAAAGTAGCTAACAGTTCAGATGGGGGAGATGTAACCGGAAAACTGTGATCCTTTCAAACTTTGCAGAGGGTAGATATTCATTTTCTGTCAATCAAATTAATAAAAAGAGTCAATTTCTACCAAACAATTTTTTTTTAAACACTTTCTTTGAATTTTTATGTCAGTGGAGTAGAAACACGACAGTAGAGTAAAAGAGTCATAAAGGCTATCACAAAAAACCATGAGAAATCTAATGCAAATTGTGTAACACTTGCCTTTTTGTTTTGTTTTGTTTTGTTTTTTGCTTTTTTTTTTTCTAATTTATTTTGTGGGGATTCATTTGTTTGTAGACATTGGGCAAAACTTATCCAGCCTCTCCAATCATGAATTAGAGGTTAAAAATGAGTATCTTTTGACAGTCTTTAAAGCTAAAATTCAAAATTCTGAATTAAAGAAAGATTTCTTTAAGGTAATAAAATCACACTTAAGATAGAATAGATAAGTCTAACTCTTCTGAAGTTCTGTTTTTTAAAAAATACTTTGGGATATATAACCGTAGCAAAAACTCATAGCCTTTTGAGAGTTAGGCATCGCCACTTAGAAAAAGGGGTTCTTTTAAACGCAATTGCTTGGAAGGTACACACTTTTATATTCTTGCTTATTTTTATTTTATATGGGGGAAAACAATAGAAATTATGTTATGCTAAATTTGTGGAAGAGCCTGATAGAACAGCAAACTGTTTTGAATATGGTAATACGAGACATATAAAAATTTTAAAAATTTTCTTTTCCCTAACACGTTATTATACAGATACTAAAGCATTATTATAAGGTGCATTTCAAACAAGATGTTACACATAATAAGAAATACCAACACACTGAAATATAATTAGAATTTTTTAACTCTTTCTAAATGAATTACATGTTTTCTTAGGAAAATTCAAGCCACTATGAAGTCTCTGAAATAATTCTTACGATTTCAGAGAGAACTTGATCATAACTCATTTAAAATATAACATGAATTAGTCTTAATACCATTGTATTTTGCAAGTGGTCAACGTTTGCATAAAGAAGCATTATATTTTGATCTCTTTTTGCATATCTCTGACAGATACAAAAAACAAATAATACATAATTTAATGCAGAGATTAGTAATTGTTAACATTTTTTATGGCGAAAATATACATCATTATGCACGTTTCTTTGAGTTGGGAAAAAAAGTTAATTTCCTTTGATGAAATTTTCAAAGCTCTTATCCATTATTGGAAAGAAATAAAAAGCTTTAAAAAGTTGTGGGTTTTTTTTTTTCATGAAAATGAAGGCATAAATTCCCATCAGACTCTAGTGAAATGACTATTCTCTTTTTCCCTGTATACTAAATTAATAATTTTAACTACAGCGCTAAAAGCTTAGCCTGATTATTATCAACATTGTATTTTTCCTCATCTATCCAAATAACTGAGGAATCATTGGGCCAAAAAGAAAGACTTACAAGTAAAGATGGGAGGCAACGTACTTCGACACAGGTTCCTGCTTTTCTTCTGTTTTCTACTGGCTCATTTTATGGGATTGGATTTGTAAATTAAACTACTATGAATATATCACATACAAATATATCAATGAAGTCTATATAGTTTAATATTAACTGGGATGCTCTGGTTATCCCACCCTTCGTTCCTAAAGGAAAACTGTTATAATTCTGAGCTCTTCTCTCTCTTGTCTTTTTGGAAAATAACTGGAAATATTTTGAAGATAAAAAATTATTGTAATAAGTACATTCCTGTGGAAGATCTATGTTTCAACAAATCAGTATTCTCTATCAGCAAGAAGATACATATTGTCAACACATACAAAGTTCAAAGATTTTTTTGTATGTATGATAAAGTGCTTGCAGAGAAATATATAAAAATATAAATTATTTGAAGCATAAACAAAAGCACAGTGATACTCAAGTTCAAATGATTTCAACAACAAAAACTCACTTATGGACTCCTTTATGCACTGACTTCCAACAGTCCTTCATGTTTGCACAGTAACTGCTGATTGTAAGATGACAGAAACTATTGAGAGAAAAAAAAAAAAAAAAAAAAAAAGCAATTGCATTTCAAATATTGACAGGAAACTGAAATTAATTAGAAGGTAACTTCCATGCATCTTATTTTACTAAAATGTATGACCCCTATGTTTATATTATCCTTTGGGAAGATCACATGATAACATTTCACACTCCCAATCTACTGTCTGCTGGTGCAGCCTCATCTGAAGTACTGAGCATAGTTTTGGGCACCACCGTATAAGAAATACCTAGAATTATTAATGCATCCAAAGGCAGGTAGCAAACATGTGAAAGATTACAGAGGACAAAATGTATGAAGAGCAGCTGAGGTCCCTTGTTTTGTTCAGCCCAAAACAGAGTAGAATGAGTGGAGGCCTCAACGAGTTACATACTCGTAATATGTAATATAATATTCATAATATACTGTTTGACTGTTTCACCTAAATTTAGGCCAAGAAGCAATTACAGAGGACCAGAAAGGCAATTACAGATACAGTCCCTGCTCAGAACAGACCTGACCATGACTATCATGCTAAGTCTCCCACTATAAACTATAAAATTTGTTATGAATGGTAGTCCATTTACATGAGCATTTCCTGTGTGAAATTTCTCTGGAATTGGTGCAGAATTTATAGTAAGTGTTGTAGTGCGGCAATGCACCCTACTGCATTTCAAAATTGAGTGGATTTGTCTGTAACCTTCCTCATTTTTCCGCTCCTCCTTCACCATTGTCTTTTCTATGTTGTCTCAAAGACAACTCACCAACT